TTTATTACTAGGATATACTGTGAACTTTTCATATCAGCAGACAATATTCCATACAAAATATCCCCACAAATGTACTGCATCACCAAGATTTTTGGTAGTGTAAACAATTTATTCCAAAGCAATATTTTCAGTGTTCTATCAGCTTTTACATACTTAAATCTGCATATTTTTTATTTACCTTTACAAAGACCTTTTTCAACCTTTTTAAATGTATGCATAATCTTTCATGTCAAATTATCACAATTGATCAATAAATTCAATATACACTATAGGGCTGTTACCAGTCAGATTAAATAATTTACACTGCAAAATTACAACAGCAATAAATAATGTTATGAGATAAATGTTTTAAATAAATTTTGGATATACAAATAAGAAATGCAAATGACGAAATGTTTGGGGGGGGGGTCACTTAATGAGTGAGTCATTCAACCGATTCGTTCAAAACGCTAAATCATTCCGTAACAAAACACCACCAAGTGTTGCTTGGAGAATGTTTAATACTTCTGCTGTGACCTTTGTTTGGAACTATTTTCATTGTAGAAATAGAACAAAAACAGTAAATATTGTGTCTAAAATGTAAGTAATTTAACTACCAGACTACTTTACTTGTTTATTGAAATAAAATCAATGTGACATTTGCAATCGTGAAAATATTCAGGAAAATAGCTCCCTTGTCAAGGTGTTACTATATCATGTTATGAATAAACTAAACATTTTGAATTTTTACCTCAGTGTGTTTCTTCTGAGTTTCTTTCTGTGTGCTGTTATGCTCATTTGTTTTGAAGTTTCTCACAAAGAGATAGGCAGCGCAAGCCTCAACAGCATGACCTTGATAATAGAAATAGCCGACACTATCCATTATCAATCACTGTTTACGCTGAATGTAATAAAATCAGAAGAATCATTATCGCGTTTCAATGCTTATTTTTTTTGTCACTTAAATTTTAGTCAGGCTATTTGTCCTGTAGCTCGACCAATATTATTATTATTATTATTGAGAACATTATATAAACAAAGAAGGTAGTTCAACCTGTATTCCACTACTGCAATTCTGTCTGATGAAGCTGTAATACCGCAGGGGATGAAAAAAATCTTCGGTCAATCCAATTATTGTAAACAGTCATTAGGTCCGTCAGACTGAAAAATATATTTTAGCGGTAATGTGACCAAAAATATTTAAGACCTATTGAATCTGAATTTAAGACATTTTAAGACTTTTTAAGGCCTTTTATGAGGAAAACATTTTTTAAGACTTTTTAAGGACCCGCGGACACCCTGTGTGAAGGCGGAGTGTCCTTCATGCATTTCAGAGGGTCCTTCATGCACTTCGGCGGCGGCGGCGGCGGCAACAACAAAACTACAGCGAGAATAAAAGTTACGCCTTCTTTCTTTGCGTGAACATTTGGGCGGCGTTATGCAAATCTTCCCACATCGTGACGAAGACATGTGGGGGCATGTTAGAATGAGCCGTTTTAGTTAGGCGTGATTGACTCTTAACTTTTATAAAGACTATCTCTTTGGATTTGAGACTTTAGTCTTTGCAACTTTACAGATCTTCTTTATGCACCAAGAGCTTGTAGCACTCCAAAGAGAAAGGAAAAAATTTTAATCGCATCATATGACCCCTTTAACTCAATTTTATCCAACAAAAATGTTCCTCAATTTATCAACAGTACTAATGAACAAATTCAACTTAAAAAAAAAACTTGTTTAGTTACTCTATGTAGATTTGTTACTGGAGGTCCCCTGTTTGCTATACATAATAAAACGTGTTTTTACAGAAAAATCACAAATATACTATACTGTCTAGCATCTTACACCTTCAGCAATTCAACAGTGTTTCAACCATGTTTTTGGTTTGTAATACTCACATTTGTAAACACCCACATCGCTGTTCTCCATCACGTTCGATGATGACGTATCGTCTCGCGTGGGCTTCTGGGATTGAAAAGTGTCCATCGATGCACACTTCAGAATCTAGGCTGAAGCAGTAGGACATCCGGGGATTTCTCACCTACACTTTTATGAATACTTATGATTCAAACATACTTATTCGCTCGCCTACTGCTTTTTGCCTACTATATAGTAGGAAAGTATGCGGTTTCGAACGCAGCGTACAAGTTACTGTCTTCCGCCATTTTGGACAGTACCATGACACATATGCACTCTTTTCCCAGAACGCAAACAGCACTGTTTGCATTCATCATGTGCACATTTTCTACTGAATGTAAACCATGCTGATTACGTTGATTACATTTTGGTGAAAGAAAGTCTCCAAAATGGCGGAAGACGGTAACGCGGGGAGAAGAATTGTTGAATAAATTGTTCTTTTTGTTTTCTTTGCACACAAAAAGTATTCTCATAGCTTCACAAAATTTAAGTTGAGCCACTGATGTCACATGGACTGTTTTACCGATGCCCTTGCTAAATTTCTGGGTCTGGGAACATTGCAGTTGCGTTGCTGTCTATGCAGGGTCTTGAGAGCTCTCAGATTTCATCAAAATTATCTTTTGTGTTCTGGAGATGAACAAAGGTCTTACGGGTTTGGAACGACATGAGGGTGAGTAATTAATGACAGAATTTTTTGTTTTTGGGTAAACTAACCCTTTAAGACTTTTAAGAACCTGTGGGACATCCGTTAAACTATCATGTGTCACTAATGACTGGAGTAATGGCTGCTGAAAATTCAGCCTTGCCATCACAGGGATAAGTTACATTTTACAATATATTATAATAGAAAACAGTTATTTATAATAATATTTCACAATAGTACTGAGTTTGTTTTTTTTTACTATGTATTTAACCAAATAAAGGCAACTTTGGTAAGAATATGAGAGGTTTTTTTTTTTAAGCAGTGGTTTTCAGTCCTGGGGAACCCACTGATATGCACATTTTGTATGTTGCCCTTATTTAACACTATTCAGATCATCAGCTCATTAGGAGAGAGCTCCATGAAATCAAAAGAGTGTGTCAGATAAGGGAGACATACAAAATGTGAAGAGCAGTGGTGGCTCCCCAGTACCAGGTTTGAAAACCATTTTAAAGTATATAATATTCCAATATTAAATCAAAGATGATTCCAGTTTTGATTAAATGTGTCAAGCATATTTCAACAAAGGCCTAATCACACAGGCAAATAACAGGTCACAAGGTATAGCGTAAGCATACACACCAACGTGATTTATTTTAAAGCTAATATATATATATATATATATATATATATATATATATATATATATATATATAAAAAAAAA